ATATGTTGGCGGGCCGACCAGGCCCAACCCACCCGGATTGACACGTCTAGAACTACTGAAAGATGACTTCAATAAAAGTTCATTATAATTGTTTGCCATTCGTTTTACCATTTAAAAAAATAATAAAAATTGGGCCAAAATTAAAGCCCACTAGTTTTGGGCCAGACTACAAAAAAAAAAAAAGGAAAAAAAAAAAACCTGGGGGCCAAAAAATGAGGCCCCCTCCAGTTTTGGGCCTGAGGCGAGGGCCTCATCTGCCTCTCCTCAGGACCGGCTATGCATAATTGAGTCACACTCGTCCCTGTGTTATTTAAAAAAAAATGCTATTTAACACCCGTTCAAATTATCACAATTGATATGTTCAATTAAATAAATCGTGCGACATTGCATTTAAGTGAATATATCATTTAATGTAGTACAATTATCCCTAGACTGGTGCTTGATACCAATTATACTGCATAACATTACTCTTTTAAAAAACACAATAAGAGGTCACTAGATTTTGTACAGATTTCACTATTTAGGCTCGTAGAATCGGCCAATGGACACTAGTATGTTCGGGAAGTATTAATAAATTATTTAAATTATAAATAGATAAAATGAGTGATAAATAATTTAAATAGTACTCTTGAATCTCATAAATATATAAATAAAAAAAGAAACTTGAATATTTATATATAAAAAAAGTAATTTGAGAGTGATTATCAATCAACAATATATTAGACATGTAGTATCATGGCAAGACAATGTTGTTGATTTTATCCTAGAAGTGAATAGATTGTAAACAATCAATACGATGATGAATAGAGTGTCGAGAACCAATGAGAACTAATACATACTTATTTACTTTAAATATATACTAGATCTAATTTGAAGCACATACAATCTATGTTTGAGATTCATATTTTATTTTATCTAATTATTTACGAAAATAGGCAATTGAAGATAAGCAACAAATCTTGAAATTAATCAAATCAAAAGGCACTATAATCACGAATCAACAATTTTTAACGTATTTTAATCACCATTTTGTGAAGGTTGAAAATCAATGATCCAATTATATTCAATAGCTCTCTCAATTGTTAATTAATCATATATTTATATAGGAACTTAATTTTTATTAATTAAATTGGGAACATATAAATATGTATTAATGCACAAAGGTCGTCTCATAATGATTTCATTGAGTATAATGATATCTATATCTAAAAGGGTTAATTCCATTAATGGCCACCCAACTTTATATTTGGTATCATCGTAGTCGCTTAATTTGATTTTATTTCGCCATGCCATCAAATTTCATATCACGTTTCACCATGAGCGCCCAACTTCTTCTCACAATTTTCATTAATTTTAAAATGTTAACTTTGCACTATATATACAATAAATTAAAAAAAAATCATAAAAAAAATAAAATCAAAACTTATTTAAAAAAAACGTTACTTGAAAAAATAAAACAAAATAAAAAATTATTTTTAAAAAATGTTACTTAAAAAAATAAAATAAAACAAAAACTGATTTAAAAAAAAGTTACTTCAAAAAATAAAATAAAAACGTATTTAAAAAAAAAGTTATTTAAAAAAAA